TTGGGGGATGGAGGAGGGGAGGGCAAGTGGGAAAGAGAAAGAGTGGGGGAGTTGGGGGGGGAACTAATTTATTTGGTGAAAAAATAAATGTGTGTTTGAACAGCTTATTTAAAAGACTCGATCCTATGTGTGAATTACCTTTGTCGTCCTGGGGCCTTAATGAGTGTAATTAACACCGGCATGATTGCCATTCCTTCCAGTCACGGGGACTCGTTAGGGCTGTGTGTGTGTGCGTGTGTGTGTGTGTGTGTGTGTGTGTGTGTGTGTATGTGTATGTGTGTGTGTGTGTCTGGGTTAGGTGACCCCATCAGAAGTGGATGCCCCATCCCATTTACCAGAAAATAAAGACGTCTGCCCCCCCACCCCCGACCCCCACCCCTGACCCAACGCCCAGCACAGTTTCACTTCACTCCAGGGGAACGAGGAGACAGTCCAGCTCGAAGCCACACTTGCCTATGTTTCTCCTCCTCTGTGTCTGGGTGGCATTTGTGCTCTTGAAAATAATGAATCGAAACATTATCCTCTTTCTAATATCAAACATCTATCTGTCATCTAAATGTACTTTACCCGTAATCTATCAGTATTTCATGTAGTCGGTCTCTGGCTGAAGATGATGATGAACAGTTGGCTCGGGCCTTAGTTCCATCCAGTGTATCCGCAGTACTCAGACAAATAGAGCCGTCATCGATAAAGCGACGGCCGTGTCATTGATAAATCGGGCGAATCACGTTTGAGCCCCGTCCCCAGGCCCTTGAGAGACGGCACGGACAACGTCAGCTATCGACGTTACGGCTTTCATAAATGATGAATGTTCCCAATATCCTCTGAATTGTTTTTGATCATTTGGAGATGGAGAATAATGGTTCCCAGACCGACCCACCTACTTCACGGAATTCCCGACTCTGCTCGCTGTTCCTGCCTCTCACGGGCGAGGCCTCTCAGCCTTTCCTGTGTCCAGCTGAAGCGCTTCAGATGTGTCCCCAACATCTTCTTGCAATAAAGTCTTGGAAGACAGTGAACAGGACTCCGATTTGCGGTTTCTGTGATAGGATCGAGCCGGTGTAGGGAAGTCCTTTCTGGAATGGGAAAAAAAAACATTCAACGTTGTCATTTTGTGGGTAGGACATGCTGGTCGCAATTAAAAATGCATGCAGTGTGTCAGAGGCATTGAAAAATGATGCAGGTTCCACCTTGTTCTTTTTCTTTTTATCTCGGGGATACATGCCTGGCTTCTGGCAGGGAAAGTTACTCGTCTTCTTATTGCTCGGCGAGTTAGATGTGCACCTCCATCAAGCAGGCGGCTGAACCTCTGTTCCAGCTTGTCTCAGGTAGGAAGATCTGACAGGTCAGCTCTTTGCAAGCCCAGAATCAGAGGTTTCATTCTGAACCTGTTTTTTTTTTTTACGTGACGGCAAAGTGAGAACGGCAGAAGATGAAGAGAAGGTGGAAAAGTTTCGCATGCAGAAAGGTGTCTCTTCGGCTGATCAGACGTCAGGATTTGGGGTGACGGGACGTGATAAGGAGTGGGGGTTTTTAGAGCACACTTTAGCAGACTGTGGCGGGGGGGGGGGTTGGCCCAGGCTTTCAGTGCTGACTTTAGGTCGGGGAGGTTGAGGATTATCTCTCACCTGAAACAAAGGCTGAGATCGCACCTGTACGGCACATCTGATGAAGCTGCTTCCCCTGAGGGCACCCTGACATCACGAAATAACCTCAGCAAGCGTTTGTACTCTGGAAATTATGATAATGAAGGCAGGAGGCCATCAATCACAGCTAATGAACGCTCACCTTTGGGTTTCCAGGAGAGGAGCAGGTGAGATGCGTTTTGTGGCTTAACTCCATGATAACTGGGTGTGATGTGATCTGCTTATGGTCATGAACGTTGCGTTGCACCCTGTCTTGTATCTCCACACTGGCTCCCTATTGGCTGACAGCTCTATTATTGGACAGACATTCATCTCCATCAATAGACTCCTCAAGACCTACATCCCATCTCGCCCCCTTCAGTCAGCAATACTCAGAGCTCCGTCCTCCATGTGAGAAATGTCACTCCAGACGGTTCTCTTGTGGGATTCCCAATGGTGGAATGAGCTGCTGAATCATGTCTGGTCATCAGACTCCCTCTCTACCTTCAAGAAACACCTCAAGACCCATCTGCTCCATGAATGGCTCTCCTAACCTGGTACCTCTTTACCTTTCTTCAATGTTCTTATGTTGAACTTCCGGTGCTTGAACAGTCTTACTCTGGTTTTTTTCTTTGTTAAATATTGTTGCGTAGCTCAAGAGCATAGATTTGTGTATGGATGGTAGGGACACATGTCTGTCAATATGGTGGGAGTACCGCGTGTGTTTAGGGGGGCGGGGGGTGGGCTGATTTGGTCCCTACCAATGCTGAAACCAAACCTTTGTCTTTGGTGTAGCTTCTGCTCCATCGCTCCTTACACTCGTACTTCATCGGAAGCTCAGCTGAACCGCATTTATGCCAAGTCGACTCTTTGACAGTATCTATGTTTGCAATGTGCTGCTTGCCTTTGGACAAAAGCATGTGCTAAACAGGTCACATATAAAATGGATTTGAGTGTATCGGAGTGAGCAGGTTAATATACCTCAGTTCACACCAACACCTCAGCTCAGTTCTCATTTCTCTGATGATAGTTTATACTGTGAACAGTGATGTACGACTTGGGCGAGCATTAAAGCTTAAACGAAGGTACATTGGAATGTGTTTTTTTTTTTTCTCCACATATCGCATCTTGATCTCCTTTTATTTTGCATACAGACGCTCACACAGAGGTAAGAGTGAAGCTTTATCCAGAACCTTCCTCCGGCAATTTTTCAGGGGTTGAGGGCCTCTCTCAAGTGTCCGGCAGAGATGTGACTGTTGTGCCAAGCGTGGGATTCAAACCGGTGACCTTCTGATTGGAGGTTCAGAGGGGGGTCGTGACAGAGATTGTGCGGCGAGGTCGACCGCAAGGTGGACGGAGTTATGTGGAATTAGTTGAGTCTGACTGCGCAGCTGGGCATTGCGTGCAGCTCGACTGCGCAGCCATCTGGGTTGGCTTGTACAGTGGGGAGGCCATGCGGGAGGGGGGGGCGGTATTTCTCACAGGGGTACAGGAGGCATTTCTCACTACAAGCTTAGACTCCTGACCAGACTGCTGGCAACTATCTGCTAAAATCTGCTAGGAATGTATTCCAGATTCAGGAGAGCTTAACCATGAGGGATGACGGGGTGGAGTGGGAGGGGGGGGGGTTCCTGTTTATCTGTAGGATCAGCTGGAGTCCATGAAGTCATTTGCACGTTTCCACAGTTCCGATTTCTTCCCCGTCTCCCCTGTGGAACTCCAGCATGCTTTTCTGTGTGTGTGTGTGTGTGTGTGTGTGTGTGTGTGTGTGTGTGCGCGCGCCTGCATACATGTGTGTCTGCATACGTGCGTGTGTGGGGATTTTCCTAACCATGCTCGGGACATCGCCATGAGCAGAATATTTCTAATTCTAATAAGTTAGTGAGCTTTAAATAAAAAATGACTCACATTATTCATCAATGGGAAGTTCCCACAAAGACAGGAATGCATGCGTGTGTGTCTGTGTGTGTGTGTGTGTGCGCGCCTGCTGATTCCCCATTTCTAACCCTACAATGTACTGTGGTCCTTAAAAACACATAAAACTAAACACGTACCAGTGTGCCGTTTGAAGGCATTTAGGTGTTCTGATCCCTGTGAGGTACAAGTCACAAGCAGGAAAGCTTCCTGGCTCCCAGACAAAGGGATCCTGCGGTCTGGGCAATGGTGATGTCAGCTTGGTTAATATTTTAATTAAAGGGCTCCCCGTTGGCGCGGTCTGCCATCCACCGGCCTTGGGCCCTGGCAAAGCCTCGCAGACGTGGATTCCCATACCATCCGCCCACCGGAACCTTCTTCTGAGCCACAGAATGTTCTGGGGAGGTTGACGCATCACACACACAAGGCTGCAAATTCAATGTTTCCAGTTTACCTGGACTGCATGACGTCAGAGTCTGAGAGGACAGAAACCACAGGAAGAAGATTCCAAAGGTGTGAGTCGATTAAAAAAACACAAAGAAATATATGTCTTGAATTAGCTTTCTATAAAATACAAATAGGACAATTATCTGTATAATGTGCATTGAATAATTGTATGCCAGTTACTTGCAGAAGTTTACATTTATATGAATTAAACGAAACAAAATTGTTTAGATTTTTTCTGTGCATTTGTATTATTGGAATCTTGCTATCCCTCAAAGACTTTACTTATTTGCAACTTTTAGTGCAGCTACCGCCTGAATCAGATTTACTCCCGACTGCAGGGTTATTTATCTCAGGGTGCAACTATATCGGTCCCAATAGGCAGCTGTCTCAGAGCTCTGGGCTGGGGTGCTGCGTCAGGCTGACGACACACCGGATAAATCTCGCAAATCTAGCGTTAGACCACCGTGTCCCCATTCCAGGGTTCATCACACATGAGATCGTTGCAGGATTTATGTCTTATTGTACCAAACAGGCTGTCCCAATCTGATTATTCATACACCGTTTCCCTTCGTTCATAATTTCCCTTGCATTGAGATTATCCTAATTTCAACGAAGATTACCGGTCTGGGAATATCTAACCAATCCCACTGCTTTATAAATAAACGTGGGAAATAACCTTTGTACTTCTAATATAACGGCCATAGTCATGCAAAACGGCCGGCATGGGCGCAATTCAATCGTTTATTATGCTTTTTAAAAAAATCGATAATCAGTAATTAGGGAGCTAATGGGGTCTTTCATTAGCAATTATCGGGCAGGCGTTAGAAAAGTGATTTATGATATTTGTCCTCTGGAGGCACAATTTCATCTATCACTTCTGAAAGAGAGGAGGGAGGGGAGTAAGAGGGACGAGGGAGGGAGAGCGAGAAAGTGATAGAGAGGAGGGAGAGCGTGATTGAAAGGTGGGGGGAGAGGGGGGTGCACAGATCGGGATCTTTAAAAAAAAAAAAAAGTTGTACTTGCTGCCGGAGCTGTTTGCATGAGGGTGAAGCCATTAGTTGGAGGGAGGGAGGGAACGGGCCATTTCGTCCTTTCTCCGGATGGCTGCAGATCTCCACAGTTAGATCGCTTGGCGTATATTTCAGAAAGTACCGGTTCCCATCGAAACAGGAGGACGGAGCCTCAGAGATGGACCGCCGGACCTTCAGCGAGAGAAGCGGCGGCAGCCGGAGCTTTTGGTTGCTTTTGCTGTTCGTTTTCCCCGTCTGGGCAGCTAGGGAGCCCGGTGAGTGATTATTATTATTATTATTATTATTATTATTATTATTATTATTTAATTCTTGTTGTTATACCAACCTGTTACTTATCCAGAATCGGGCATGTTTGCGAGGAGTTCAAAGTTATACGCTGGAAACTTTTCGGTAGATGCATCCGATTTGCCAGATCCGTGCACCGAAATGGACCCGATGTTTTATTTCAGTCTGGCTGCATAATTAACAACATTGCTGGTTTGAACTTGTTCGCTCGGAGTGTCGCCGGCTCTGCATTAGTGGGGGGGCAGACAATGCATTTCCGCAGAATTGCTGTACCTCACATAATAAGATAATGTCATCTTGCGCATCTGTGTCTCCAATGCTGTCCCGGAGCGCCGCATCGTGCTTTGTGCTGGGTATTAATCAGAAACACCCCTGGAGTATATTCGGTTCTTCGGATAAGTTATCTGATGTGGGGCTGAATCCTCACATTAGTGCAAACTTGACATTTCGCGGCCTTTACAGTCCGGGACTGCAGCCTGACTGGGCTTCCAAGTTAATTCCAATTTGGGCGGCTTAAAATTTGTATTTCACTCGCGTTCGTGATTTCGGGCATTAGGCACTATAGATGAGTCATTTTAATAGGAAGTGTGATTTTCTTTCTCTGGAAAATGCTGGAAATATGTCATTTCAAAGTCTTGATTTTTTTTCTCAAAAAAGGCCATTAACATGCTGGGCGTTATTAGGATATGTAGGACGCCCCCACTTACCCTCCCCCTGTCCTACTTGGACCCCGTTCACGGCTGTCCCGTCCCTCTGTATCCCAGCGCACTTGTCAGACATGTAACACAAATTTCCTTTGCACTCCTGTACTCATCCTGAGTAGGAAATGCGGCCAAATCCACGGATTGGGGATTAATCAGACGACCTGCGGGGTTTTGACTCGTGGCGTGGGACGAAGGTTACTGGTGCACCGGTGACTGAAACATGCAGCTTAATGTTAACGTAAGAGACTGGAAGTCCCCTCTGGTACCGGCAACACCCGCCATGCTTCTCCAACCAGGGCACCGGTCCAGCGTTACATTTTCCAATGTCAGGGTGGAAAATTTATGATCCTGTAGGTGTGGTGCATTATTAAAACCAATGGTTTTATTTTTTTAAACAAAGTTTTCTTGTTTGTTGTTACGTCCCACTTGTTTTCCAGATCACCTGCAAACAATAACCGATAAAACTTTATTCATTCAATATAGATAAAATGTGTCTTGTGAATAACCATGATGCATGTTTTTACAGTCATTCCCAGGGGAACAGCAAACTGCATCTATAGTATGTGGAAGTGTATGGGGAACCATGAAGTAAGCGGGACCTTCTCATGGATCATGTGCCGTCATGTGTCATGCAGTGTGTAGGAGGTTTTGTCAGTCCCATTAAGGCAGGGTGGGGCGAAACCAGATGCCTCTGACCTTCAGCATGTGGAGAGAAAAATGTTCCATTGCTTGTCGTGCGAAGTCCGGCATGGAGGCTTCCAGCAAGGCGACTGTGGGAGCCTTTGTCTGACTTACTAAACGTTGCTTTGTTGTGAAACTGTTGCCGTTGGTCGATTCGCCATATTTGCCACCCAGTTTTGGTGGGGTCAAGTGGGTAACGGAATCTGTATGTCCTGAGATGTGCAATTCCTTCTGCTTATCTACTGAATGTGTAAGGAATGGGTGAAAGTCAGTGATGCGTGATACTGATGTAGTTTAACAGGCATGATGGGAAATGTAGTTTTTAGGACCAGTAGAACACACTCCTCTACACTTCTTTCTTTTAGGTCATCTGTGCTGAATATTATATGGAGGTCATTTAAGTCGTGTGCTAGAAGTGTTCAATCAGGGTAGGTGATTCAGTTAATGAGGTCAGGCCTTGCTTGTGAATCGGCCAATCATGACACAGGTCGGTCCAGTGTGTGACTATCAGACTTATCACTGTGCGGCGTTCCCCTCCCATTCACATCCCAGCCAATCAGCTCCTGGTTTCTGCCGATCACACGGGGAGCTCGAAACATCACGGGCGGCGCGTGTGGGCTCGGACACGGCTGCCTGGAACAGGAAGTGTGCTGTTGGTGGTGTGGAACTCGCCTGGCTCTCGTGAAATGTGGGTAAACAGTGAGTATGGCGCTTGGCAGGCTGGGATCAAAGCCGTCCTGGCTGTGCCCCGGCCCTCGCCCCCAGAGTGCTAACACCAGTTCCCATGACAGCGGCCTGGGAAGCCCCCCCCCACGCCCCCGCCCCCCCGGAGTCCCGCCTGTTGAGTCATGCAGGGCTGTGATTACCAGCTCCGCAGGAGGGGGCTGTTATGGGGAGACTAGAGAGGAAAATGTGTGTTTTGTATGTGTCAGCGGGTGGGAGTGGGGGCAGGGGGAAAGGTGGGGGGGGACATGTGTGTTTGTGTGTGTGGCAGAGTATTTTTTGCATTGATATGTCCATGACAAGTAATTATACTGATTGGCAGTAAGTACAGTCAGTATTCCATATCAGTAGTGATGTTAGCATGAAGAAAGCTCTGTGTGTGTGTGTGTGTGTGTGAGAGAGATAGAGAGAGAGAGGGGTGTGCCTGTATGTACCTGTGTGTTTGTCTAAGAAAGGGAACCACTCTGTGGAGAGATTCTATAGACCCTCATAGATTATGGACCTTCTCCGTTTGGTGGAAAGTGAACTCGAGATGCCTGGTTCTTTTTTTTTTTTAGTAATATTTTTCACTGGAAGGGAGGAGGTATCTGCTCACTCTGCAGCCTCCCCCGTCCACTTGGCAGCCAGATAGATGTGGGATTCTCTGGACCTCGGTGTGTCACACCTCGCACTGACTCTGGCCATTCCATGGAGATTTTTGCACCTGGTCATAATTAGCCGTTTCATCCCTTAGGTCTCAAAAGCAGGGGCATTGATGGGGGCAGAGGTGCTGTTGAGAAAGTATAAATGGTTGGTGGTGCCCTTATCTTTGCCCCTGCCCTTGTTTCTCTCTATCTTCTCAATCTTTCAGCTACAGTAGACCTTGTTCTCAATGGCAGAACCTTAATGTAACATGCAGCCAATCAGACCACTTGGGGCCCTCCCCCTGATGCCTGATAGCCAACGGGTGCCCTGGATCAAGTTTCACTGCAGTGGCAGCATGCCGCCCTCAGTCCCTCGGACCCCGAAAAACACCATAACAAAACACGGACGTGTCTCTTTCTTTGCGAAGTATATTCCCTCTGCAAAACACACCCACACGCTTGCACAGTCACACAGACACACACACACACACACACACACACACAGAAGGCGTGAACATCTGGAGAGCAGAAGTAACCCCTGACACACACACACACACACACACACACAGAAATCGCACCAAGTATTGCCACTGATGACCGATGTAGCCAATGGGGAACCAGGAAGCAGTGCGACCTGCTGCCCCAATCTGTCCTCTGGGGGGGGGGGTACCCCTCTGCGCTGCTTCACCCCCCTCACCAGAAGGTGTGGCTGGAGCTCACTGGATGTCAGTCAAATACCCTTTAGCAGGTTGGTGGGAAAGTCGTGGGTGGGTT